AAAAAAAAAAAAAAAAAAAAAAAAAAAAAAAAAAAAAAAAAAAAAAAAAAAAAAAAAAAAAAAAAACTCGAGATGCCAAATCTACAGAAATTTGTCAAGCATAGTCCTAGCCACCAGCTAAGTATCAATCAACCACGAAAACGCTAAGGGAACAACCAGGCACTAGGTGAAGACGCTCATGGCCAGCATCTACAATTTCGCAACACAATAAAGAAACGTTAGCGGTTTTAGCGGAGGAAACCTGGAAGGAGCAGAGAAATGGCGGGCCGGGAGACGCCGAGGAGCAGTGACCGGCGGCGGCCGGAGTTGAGGAGCCGATGGAGTTAACCTGGAAGAAGAAGAGCGCACAGTCGACATTAGCGTCCGAGAAAGAGATCCTGAGCGCCAAGCCATTGTCTTCTCAGATTCTACGCTGCGGCTGTGTTGGGGCTTTGCGAGGGTTTTAGTTTCTCTGCAATTCCTTTCGAGATATGATGCTATGCGGTGTACGATAGCTATCCTGTGCCCTCAGTTTTGGCCCGTTCGATTATAGATAGTTTGGACTTTTTTAATGGAAAATCAAATCATCCCTAACTTATAATATTATTGTGTCGAGAAACATTAATATATAACTAGTTAAACTATGCTTAGATTATGGGTTTTATTATATTTATGATGTCTTCTAAAAACATAAATATTTGTCCCATAATGTTGGAGAAGTCCGTGCATGCATATATACAACGTTAGAGAAGTGGAGATACGGGTGGAGATGGACAAATCTTTTTTGAGCCGACATCGAGACTAAGCTGTTACTTTTATCTCTATTATCGAAGAATCGTGCCGACTTACAAATTCACCTACTTCAACCTCAGTTTGTTCTTTTGGACGAAGTTGAATAATTCATTCATCATATACGTCATTTTAGTTGATCTATATCATGTCAGCTCACCAATAATACTAAAGAGGGTCTAGATATTGGAAGGAGATCAACAACAAGCAAATTGTTGGCACGGTCTTACATTTTTTTGGATTATTTCTGTTGATTCATTTTTTTGGATTATTTCTGGTGACTCTTGGTTCAATAGAGCTCAATAGTTTTGGCTCGAGAAGATCAATAACTTTATGAAAGATAGTGAGAACTGTGAAGGCCAAAATCTAAAGTTAAAAATGAGGAAAAAAGCAAAGACGAAGACCTGTGATTGAACTTGAGGTTGATGAAGTCTGGTCTGAGCTAGTTTCGTTTGACAACTAGTCTGATCCATTGAAATTAGTTTTACTCTCGAAAGCATGACAGTTGTAGAAATAGCTTGTATGTTCGATTTTTGTGGTTATCACGTGAAATTGAAAAAAGTATAAGCATGTTACATCCATGGTTAATGTGAATCATGTGTGATATAAACATGTTGCTGTGCCGGGACAATTAAAAGTTCACCAACTAATCCTAAATCGTGAACTCGACTGGATTGACCAGGGTATGTACAGTATTTGTAGTCCTAGCAATGATGTGAATTCATCCCCTTATGATAATTGTACTATGTGGGGGAGTGTTTGAAGGTTGCTAGTTGACCTCTACTCTCTAATAATAAATACGTTCCAATCGGCAAGCGTTCACTTTTGTACCTATATGATTATGAGTTAGTAGGTATAGAGTTGAGCTCTAAAATGTAAGCGTTCACATTTGGTTTTTCGGTCTCGTCATATATCGAGCCTCACATGCAACAATTCTCTTATGCTTCTTGTTTAAAGTAGAGACGTCCCACGTACATGCCTTTAATAACATATGCAAAAATTTAAAATAAAACATTTTTAAACGAGACCGTGTATTTACATGTTTAATTTAAAACAAGCAAATCGGAATAACATATTATTTGAATATGAAAATGAACAGCTACCTATTTGTTGAGATATCGAAGAATATATTTAGTTATGGAATATATCTTCGATATTATATCAGTATATTTTATTTTATTCTCAGTATTTAATTATTTTATATTTTCCTTAGTATCCTATTTAAACGATATCAATATCAATGATAATATACATCTTCCAATTCTATTTCTCATTCTTAGCACTATTAATGAAAATCAATGCATACTATTGTCCTATCTTGACTCCCATGACCATTCTAGAATTTACTGTCATTCGTGCACTTGTGCTTTATTTTTACTTGAAGCGTGGCTTGAGTATTTTAAGAAATATTTAGTAAGTCATCCCGGGCTAGTAATGCAATCACTCACATGTAATGATGAGATCTATCCTTTTTAAAACTGTAACATGGCCTTGGACTCTTTCCATTTTTAGGCAGAATTGGATGTGTGGTACTTCCCCCACACAGTGCCCACGCACGCACACATGGACCCACCAAGCGGGCTCGTATACGTACCCTAGGTTTGGCTTGGTCGGGCACAATGAGTTAACAGTCATTGGATACCACATAAAAAGAAAGACCTGCATGATATCATTACGAACATAATTATCGAACGTATGCATCCGTACTAACATAACATAATGGGAATGTCTCCCGATGCACGTGACATACATAAATGCATGAGGTTCCCTATATCATTAACATCATTTCCTTTTTTCCTTTCATCCATGACATAGTACATATATGCATGTATACATGCTAAGTCATCACATAATCTATCACATAGCTTTACATGGCCACACATAACATGACATACATATTATTTCATTTCATTCACAACATGACATAATGGATATCACATGCATACATAACATAGCACTATATGTCATTACATAGAACACGTAATCATAGTATAAATATTATGGCATATACAGGGCGTGCGTGTCATGCACCATCTTACATCATTCAAATTTTCAACTCCAACAATAAGGTCACTTACTTGGTTGGTCTTGGCCGAAGTTCCTAACTACTCTGTAGCTGCTTTGGAACTATGCTTCAACTTTAGCTTCACCTATACTAATCCATATCACATGCTTAGACATATTAATAACTTAGTCTAGTCCAACATAGTGATTACTCCCAATATAAATCCTAAAACTATTTATAATTGAGTAAACAGTAGTTTTACTAACCTCAATTGTCCTTAATAACGTAAAAAATAGCTTTAGGAGGATCGAAAACTTAGGAATTGTTATAAAATATATATATATCGAGCCGTTTAATCTGCCGAGCCGAGCCAACACTAAGCCGAGATAAGCCCTAACTAAGAGCAAAACATGCACCTGGCACGTGCGAGGCCAAGGAGCGCGGGTTATCACGTAAGTACTCTCAATATTTTTTTTAATAAGACTTTGTTGGTCAACTCGAAAATTTGTCCCATGAATCCGAAACTTGAACTGAACTTATTCGATTTCAAAAAATTAACCTAAGTCAATCCGAAATATTATCTAATCCGACCCAACCCTTATAATTCGGATTGGGTTGGGTTGGTTTGGGTCATCGAGTTCCATATACATCTTTTACTTTAATCAATTTATTATTTTTTTATTATTAAATATTAGATTTTGAAATAATACAACTCCTAATTAAAATAAAGATTTGTTTAAGGATATTAAATTATTTAAAAAAATTAAAATCATAGCAAAATTAAATCAATCCCAAATGAACCAAATTGGTAATTTTCTAAATAAATATGATATTAAAAAGGTTGAAAAGTAAATTGGTATGAAGTTGAAAACACATGGTTTGAAATTTGCAGTTATTTTGGAATAAAATGGCCTTTTTGAATATAATATTCAATCAAATATCAGTTTCCACAAACTTTCACAAATATAATAAATAAATAAAATATTAAAAAAAAAACATAGACTACATATATAAGACATCTTTTAAATTTCTATCGAACAAACAAAAGTACAAAATGAACATGAAGAACTATAACATGTTCGAAAACATTTACACATGTTAAGCCGCTCATGCTAAAACATTGTGACACATATTCAGAGACAGAATATAACAAAAATCCTCCATTGTCAGATAGGGAAACAAGACAATCTTTTCGGTAGGTCAGTGGCCAGCGCCGCGGTGACTCGGACCTGAATAAGCTTTGTATACATGAAGAAGTTTCGTTGGTGGAGAAATCGACGAAGAAGGATAATGTTCGAGAGGTCTCGAGGCGTGGAGTTGAACGGAGGAGAGTAAGAGGAAGAGGATGAAGATGAAGATGGCATTGAGAGCTAAAGGGAGAGATTTGGAGTTCATTTTAGTTGAGAGAAAAGGGTGAGATTGTTTGGTATAATTGAGAGAGAATGGGTTGATATTGTTTGTTTATATAAGAAAAAGAATGGAAAAAGGTTAGGTGATTTGACTTTGAGGCGTAGGTGAGCGAAGTTGGCGGAGAAATGCCTTTCTTTTGTATGATGTTTTAAAAATGGGAACTTCAAAATCTTCAAATCCTCAAACTTTGACAAATCAAACAACCAAAAGTTTCCATACTTTTCATAAAAAATGTGAACAGGACAATATGTGTTAGTTGTGGACTTGAGCTGTAACGCCTCAGATCCACCGCTAGCAGATATTGTCTTCTATGAGCTTTTCCTCTCGGGCTTCCCCTCAAAGCTTTAAAACGTGTATGTTAGGGGAAGGTTTCCACACCCTTATAAATGGTGGTTTGTTCTCCTCCCGAACCAATGTGAGACATCACATGAACGGTTACAAATGATATCAGAGTTAGACATTGAGCGGTGTGATAACGAGGACGTTGGGTTCTAAAGGTGGATGGATTGTGAGATCCCACATCGGTTGGAGAAGGGAACGAACTAGCGGGGGCTTGAATGGTTACAAATGGCATCAGAGCTAGACACTGAGTGGTGTGCCAGCGAGGATGCTGGGCCCTAAAAGGGAATGAATGGTGAGATCTCATATCAGTTGGAGAAGGGAACAAATGGTATCAGAGTTAGATACTGAGTAGTATGCTAGTGAGAACGCTGGACCTCAAAGGACGGTGGATTATGAGATCCCACATCGATTAGAGAGGAGAACAAAACATTTCTTATAAGAACGTGAAAATCGTGAGATAGATAACGATACGTAACGTACGAAAGTGGCTAAGAGATTGATAGTTTGGTATCGAAGACTTTGTTTGCAATGTTAAAGCATGTGGTTAGAATTGGGGAAGCAAGTCAATGGCTCCAAAAAATAAAAATAAAAATAAAAATAAAAATAAAAATAAAAAGAGTTGGTAAAAGGGTGGGTTATTTTAGGACTAAATTTGCATTTTATTTTGGTTAGTATATTTTTTAATATTTAATTTTTTAAAATCTTTTTATGATATTAAATTTATAAATTTTATAAGATTATGATGTATTAATTAAAGAACTCTTCAACAAATGATGTAAATTAATTTATAATAGATATATAGTTTTAATTGAATAAATAAATATACTATATTATTTCATAAAATATATTTAATACATCACATGTCGGTGTATTAAATGTTACAATTTTTACTTTATATTTAATTTCACTA